GAAACAAGCGGAATACAACTTTTCCCGTTTTCTCCCCATAGCCATGCTCACCCCTGTTTCCGAATGCACCTGGCATGTTTTAACCCCCAGGTTCATCCGCCCCCCTTTCTGCCTTATTAACTCCTGCCGCTTACTCCTCTTTGCTACTAACTTCTATCCTATTAGTCTTTCTCCCTACCTCCATCGCTCCTGGCTTAGCGCTCATCGCCCCTCCGCCTACACCATCTTAGGCGCACTTGGCACAATTCTCGGTCAGGTTCCTCCACGCCCGCTTTTCGTTCCTCCGCTTCCTGCCTCGGCGCTGCCTGTCACGGTTAGTGTCGCGCCCGATGTCTCAGCCCCTTAGCGCAAGCTCGTCTCTTTCACCCGTCTCCTACCTCCTCCTCCTTCGCCCCACCTTTCTTCCTACTACCAAACGGACGGCGCCAGCGTTCACCCCCGTCCTCATCACCTACCTTCCCATGCACATGACCCGACTTCCTGTCCAGGTTCAGTCCTTTCCTCCCACAAGCCCGTCATGATGCCGCTTGCATGCTGTTTCAAACACCGCAACGTTCTAATCGAAACAGTCAGTCCGAGGCTGGCTAGGAGCCCCGAAATCTACAAAAGAAAAAAATATATATAAACTTACCTATAGTAATGACCTGCTCGACAACACCCTGGCGCTGGGGCGCCTGATGTACACCCGACTGTTCGGGTTCACATGTCGCCACTGCGAGCAGGAGGACGCAAGTCTGCTGCGGGCCGCGGTGGTAGCGGCCCTCCTCCAGCCAAGTATTTCTGAACTAAAGCAGATGGCAGGTTCCAAGCGCGCTGCCTTATGGCCTACCGCCCCCTCTCTTGGCTCTTTGGTCCTCCCAATAGGCAACCGACTATGCAGACCGCGTCAGGGAGTCGGGGTGTGGGCCTGCGGCATCGGCCCTTCGGTAATGTTAATATGGTCTTTCCTCCGCGCCTCGGCATCCCCCCACCGACTCGTATGCACGTCGGAGCCCTTGGCCCCGCCTTTTAACGACAGGTAGGATAAAGAAATTTCGTCAACAACTCAGCCTTGCTGAAACTCGTAGGTCAGCCAAAGGAGGTGCCCGCTCAAGGTCCCTGACTGTCGCAACGGTGTTTACTCCCAGCGCCTCGTCTATGCCGAGAAGTGCCGGAGGAGAATAACAATATGACAAGAATTAAATTTTTTATCTAGGATTTTTAATTCGCCAGGCTATGGCGAACGAGGAGCAGGAAACGCTAGTACCGCTCTAACGCCGCCAAACGGTAAAACCGAGGGCGATAACCCCGCTGGCCCTGATCCCCTCGGTCTCTCCACGTCGTTCCAATGCTCTTACGCCTGTTGCCGCTGGCCTCGATCCCTGAACCTCCCCGATGAAAGTCTGACGCGGTAACTTAACGGTGCTAGGCCCAAGTCTGGGTGTAACTCTGACGGATGCCTAGATAAACGGACACGGTGCGACACGCGGGTCTACCGAAAACACTTCATGCCTCCTGGTTGTGGATGTCGTCCTCCGCGCGTGCACATGGGTCACAGGTGAACACATCAATCACCGAGACATAATCTCTTTAATCCTAACTTAATAAAAAAATAATAATAAAAATAAAAAAATCCGATCGGCGATTACGCCGACTCTTCAATCATTAACAATTAAAAAGATCACCCGCGCCTCAATTCCACGCGTCCACACACCCTTTATCCTAGTCAACCATCAGTCGTATAAATGATCTGAGAATGCCGCAACGCGCACGATATATTCAAACCTTAAACTAAACTTATCTTTTGTTGCTTGCAAAAACCAGGGCGGATACCCTTGTAAGGGTATTCGCACCGACAGCGCCTCGTGAGAGCATTCTCAAATTTGAATGGCTCCCGATCTTCTGTGATGCATCGAAGACGGAGCCTATACCGTGGTGTCGCCAGTTCAAATTAAAGTTAAACATCCATCATGTCGTCCACAAAAACCAGCACGCATACTTGTAGTCCCGGTCAGGAGGTGCGTGCCACGCATGGCTGGACAACATGTTGTCCGCACATGCTTGTACAGTCTCCGAGTTATACAACTTTATCACCTGGGCCAATCTCACGATGGCATGGAAGAAGCGTTTCCAAGTAAAACCGCCTGAGCATCAGGCGATGGACAAGATGCTGACATTCTCACAGAACGGCATGCCAAGTGGAGACTGGATATCTGAGTTCCAACGTTTGGCAAACACGCCCAAGCTGCCGCTAAACTTCGACGGCATCAAGCTTTACTTCATCAAGAGGTCGTGCCCAACGTTGCAAAATGCGTTAATTTAGGTCGCTGAGAACCTCAACACAAGTGAGGAACTCTTCAACAAGGCCGCGCAGATCATTGTGACGAACCAAGAAGCCAAGAACCTTGGTCGTTCGTCGACAGTCGGTCAGGGCGCGTATCAGCATCGGCCGGAAGTGGCCGTGGTCGCGGCAGCAACGCCAAGCGACCCATCAACTTCAAACGAGGCTGCCTCGTCTGACGAGGGAGACAGACTAGCAGCTGATCAGAATGGTGGCCGCCCCGCCAAAGGACGAGGACGCGGCAAAACGAAGACAAACACCACTTCTTCTGGACCCGGACAAGAAGCTCCAGCTCAAGAACCTTGGACACAATACGGGCTGACGGAGCGCGGGTATCGCGTCCACAGCAACTACCGTTATTGTTTGTGGCGAAACTGCGCGGCACATGAGACCGTGAACTGTCCCACGAAGGCCAAGGGCCCTGCTCTGTCGGGAAAGTGAGCACCACCGAGAGTGATGCGACGACACTCACGACGCCGTCAGAACCGGTTGCAATACGGGTGACCTCCCTCGGTTCCGGGGCACATGCGAAAGTCGTAAGTCTTCCCATTCTTCATTCTTTTGAGAAATATGYTGCCCGGCTCGTACCTTYGCTGAATTTACGAGCCYAAGGACAGGATGTATRTGCGGTTTCTTCTTCGATCGGAAGCAGCGGCATTGAGTCGTCTTCAAGTGGACCTTCATGGGATTCGGCACGCTCRTTCAACATAGAGGACTTGGACCCGTGGACGCCCGAGGATTTTGCATGGCTCCCTCTCCCATCCACCGACTGCTTACCGGAGCCGCAATGTGCAGCACTTAGCGCTCATCTACATACATACCTAGCCTTCTACGCACCACCAACTTCGCCAACGGAGGACGAAGTCGCGGTGGGGGACATTCTTGCGTACGTTAGCAAGGTGACCCGCGAGTTTCGCACGCAGCGGTACGACGACAACAACGCACCGCTCCTTTATGTCCGCATCCAAGTTGGGCAAGCGTCCTGCAACGCTTTGCTGGATAGAGGCGCGACTCGCAATTTCATTAGCCGGCCTTGGACCACAAGTTTGAAGGAAGGCACACCCTACGGCGATCAAGTTGGCGGACGGTAGGACGCAACAACTCCTTGATCGCTACATTGAGGCCATACCGGTCTATTTCGCACCTCATGCATGCGAACCGGTGACGTTTGACGTCTTGGACACGGACTTCGACATCATTTTGGGCATGCCTTGGCTTGCAAGTGCGGGTCACACGGTCAACTTCCATCGGCKGACACTTACAGTTCGCGACACGTTTGGCGTCGAAGTACCATGTACCATCCCTCTTCYGCACCCTTCGATYYGGTGCCAAGTTGTAACAGCCAAATCTTTTCGGGYCACCTRCACTTACRAGCGGACCGACGAGATAGACCTATGTTTCCTTCGCACCGTCGCGGCAGYCGAATCTCAACCCATGGACTTGTCTTCAGACCCCCATGTGGTACGGTTGCTTGACGAATTCGTCGACATCTTCAAGTCACCTACCGGCGTGGTGCCGGATCGGCCGACCTCCCACGAGGTCATTCTCGAGGCCGGTGTCGTGCCGCCGAAAGGTTGCATCTATCGCATGAGCGAGGAGGAACTTACAGTACTCTAATCGCAACTCGACGATTTGTTGGACAAAAGTTGGATCCGGCGTAGTAGCTCACCCTATGGTGCGCCTGTTCTCTTCATGCGGAAGAAGAACAAGGATCTTCGCCTATGCATCGATTATCGCAAGCTCAATGCACAAACCGTCAAGAACGTGGGACCTCTTCCTCGAATTGACGACCTTCTGGAGCATTTGGGCGGCGCAATTTTTTTTTCCAAGTTGGATTTAAAGTCTGGATATCATCAGATTTCGATACGCCCGCAAGATCGCTACAAGACCGCCTTTAAGACATGGTACGGGCATTTTGAGTGGGTCGTCATGCCGTTCGGACTCACCAACTCCCCGGCGACTTTTCAAGCGACCATGACCAATGAGTTTCGTGCAATGTTAGACCGGTTCGTGCTGGTCTACTTAGACGACATTCTCGTCTATAGCCGAACCTTGGAGGAACATCTCGAGCATCTTCGACGAGTGTTGGAGACGCTCCGTCGCGCCAAGTACAAAGCCAACCGCGATAAGTGCGAATTCGTACGTCAAGAGTTGGAATACTTGGGCCATCTCGTCACTCCACAAGGCATCAGTCCGTTGTCGGACAAGATTCACGCCATCCAAGATTGGTCGGAGCCACGGAACGTCACGGATGTCCGTTCGTCCCTTGGCCTTGCCGGCTACTACCAACGTTTCATCAAAGGATACTCGAAGATTGCGGCCCACTTATCCAAGCTTCAATACGAGGACTGACCATTTGACATCGGGACGGATGCGCGGGGATCATTTTTGGCCCTTAAGACCGCATTGCCATGAGCGGAAGTCTTGCGAATATACGACCCGCTATTGCCAACGCGCGTCACTACGGATGCATCCAGCTATGGCATTGGTGCCGTCCTCGAACAACATGATGGTGTGGACTGGCACCCGATCGAATACTTCAGCAAGAAAGTGTCGGTCGTGCATTCAATCGATGATACACGCAAGAAGGAACTTCTCGCCTTCGTCCACACACTCAAGTGGGGGCGGCACTTCCTCCTTGGTCGACGCTAATTCCGATGGGCAACGGACAACAATCCGTTGGTCTTTTACAAGACCCAAAACACCGTCAACAACACGATCGCCCGTTGGATGGCATTCGTTGACCAGTTCGACTTCTTTCCCGATCATATTTCGGGGAAGTCAAACCGTTTCGCGGATGCTCTTTCACGGCGTCCGGATCACTGCACTGTCGTCTACTCGACCTTCGAGATAGAGGATGACTTGCGGGAYAGTTTCATCCGTGGCTATCAAGCCGACCCCGAATTTCKCGACAAGTACGCAAATTGTTTCTCTCCCACTCCGGCGCCTTCGCACTATCGGATCCAAGAGGGATACTTGCTCGTTCACTCGCGGGGGAAGGATCTACTTKGTGTGCCGCAAGATTCACACTTGCGCACGAGGCTTCTTGGCGACTTCCACTACGCCCCCGCCACCGGACACTTTGGAGTCAATCGCAGATTAGCCGACTCCGCGAGCGCTTTTGGCGGCCCAGTCTTCTCGACGACGTCACACGCTATTGCGAGTCATGCGAGGTTTGCAGAGCGCAATCATCGTTCGTACGGCGAACTGCGACCGTTACCGGTCCCCTTGTGCCGGAGGGAAGCGATTGCCATGGACATTACCGGGCCGKTCCCCAAGCACAAGACAGGCGTGGATGAGATTCTCACGGTGGTTGATGGACTCACCAAGTTCGCCATGCTTTTGCCTTGCCGCTATCATGCYAAGGCACCGGAGTTGGCCGAGGTTCTCTACGCCGGTTGGATTCGAACCAAGGGTTACCCCAAGGAAATCGTATGTGACTGCGACRCTCGGTTCATGTCCAATTTTTGGTTGGCGCTCATCAAACGATGGGGCTCATCCCTCAAGCCGAGTTTGGCTCGCCACCCCCAAACCGATGGCCAAACGGAGAGGGCACATCAGACCGCACAGGTCCTTCGTACTCTCATCCGTCCCGAGCAAAAGGATTGGGTCGAGCGGCTGCTGGATATCGAGTTGGCATACAACTCGTCCATCCATCCGGCTATCGGGATGTCAACCTTTGAGTTCGAGCATGGCTCGCCGGTCAATTCTCCGTTGGACACAATTATCCCATGGGTGGCCGAGAGTGACGACCACCTTCTCTTCATTCGTCGGATGCAAGAGCTTATTGTCAAGGCACGTGACCAGATGTCAAAGACGCARCAACRTWTGCGCCAACAGGCCAACCGCCAGCGCCTTCCTTATCCGTTCCRCGCCGRCGACCTCGTATGGGTTTCCGCTGCGGAATTCAGCCTCGAACAAGATATCTCTCACAAGCTCCTTCCAAAATGGATGGGGCCCTGGCCGATCGTGGCACCCGCTGGGGACGCACCCGAAGGACCTTCATTTATCATTCAGGTGCTCGCCCACTTGCCCGTCAACCCGGTCTTTCACTGTTCCAAGTTGRCTCTCTATACGCCAGCAGAACTTGACGACTTTCCCGGGCGACGATCGCAAGACCCACCCTCGATGGACGGTTTCCAAGAGGTAGGCAACATCATATCCCAGCGACGTTACGGCAACAGGCCGACTGAATTCTTGATCCACTTTGCATCTGACAGATGGTTGACCCATGCGGAAGCTCAAGCAACAGCTCTGGACGTCCTCGCACACTACGAACGCAAGTTGCAAGGCAAGCCGGCATCTTCGGCTCCACGCCGCACCCGCGTCCAAGTTCCACCTTCAAATCGTCAGCTTCGCCCTCGACCCGGCTTGACTTCATAAGGAGGAGGGGGTGTTGCATGTTGCGCCTGCACACGGGCCCCATTTGAGGGGCCCGATGGTTGCTGAGGGCCCCCCAGGCCGAGTACAGCACGCGCCTTGGAGGCCCACGGCGGCCCTTCTGGCCCTTGGCACACTAGTTAGAATAGGTTTAGTTTACTTATCTTTCAGTGGGTGTGTGCTGTCTTACCTTGTCTGTGAGGTGCCGTTTCGGACTTGCAGCCCCAAGGCCTGACTTTGGGACAGGGTACACTGGAGGCAGGCCCGAAACGAGGCCAGGCGCATTTTGGCGCCAAACAGGCGTCGTTTCGGTCCTGCAGGTCCCAAGGCAACGCCTTGGGCTAGGTGCACAGGTACCGGGCCGATTTTAGGCCAGGCGCATTTCTGCATCAGCAGCATGGTCTGGACGTCCGGTAGGGACCCAGACCAGCTGGGCCGTTTTCTGAGGCCAGCATACGGTAGACACAGCACTACAAATAGTTGGGCAGCGGTTGGGCAGGGGCAGTTCGAGTAGCTCACTTCTAGAGCGACACGCGCTGGTTGAAGCAGCGTTTTTTCTGCGCCAAAGCTACGAAGTAGGGAGTAGCGGAGTAGGTAGTGGAGAGAGCGGAGGCCTTACCTGCGAGCGTCGAACTTACCTGGCGCCATAGCTGGGACTCCGCGAGGTACCTGCACACGACGACGACTACAGTCAGTACGGTGACAACTACCTGCAGGTGAGGTAGCAAGGAGGACGTCATCTTCTTCTTCTTCCTCCTCCATCTCTCTCTCTCCTTTCTCCTTCTTTCTCTTTCTTACCTTGTTCTTCATCTATGAGAGTGAGAGAGATCATCGATAGGGAATACAGGCAGAGGTTATGTTGGGCACCTTGCCCTGGATCTGATTCGACATTTTGGGACAGACATTGATTGGACACTCGGCTAGGGACTATTTTTGGGACTTCGCTATTGCGATCTTGGTCTACTCCCTCGCCTCTTCCTCCTTCGTCTTGTCCCTTTCCCCCATCTCTTATCCATGGTATCTCCCCATGTATGTGTACGAAGGAGGGACCTTTCTTCCATGATTGTGGTCCCTCCTCCCTTCTCACATGTGTGATGTATGATGGATGTCGGGTCAGTCCAGATCTGATCAGATCTTCTCTTTTAAGTCTTCCGCTGCGCCACTTTGTGCCATCTTGTATGTATTTGGAATGTACATTTCTTGTTGATGCTACGCTGACCTTGCATGGTCCATTTCAGTCCTTTTCATCACATTGCGGATCCTTGGCTCCCTATGCATTGTCCCATTGGGCATGCGTCACTCTCTCTCTCTCTCTCTGAGTCTTTCCTTCTCTCTGTCTCTCTTTTTTTCTCTCTCGCTGTCTCCCTATCTCTCTTTGTCTTTGTCTCATTGTGACAACCTCTATTTGTCTCGGTCTTTCTCTATCTGTTCGTCTTTGCGCCTCTTCCCGCCGAACTCCTCTGCGTCCTCCTTCCCTCCCCCCCTTCCTCTCTTTCTCCCTTCTCTGTCTCTCTCTCTCTCTCTCTCTCTCTCTCTCTCTCTCTCTCTCTCTCTCTCTCTCTCTCTCTCTCTCTCTCTCTCTC